GGGGACCAGTGTGGGTAACTATTGAGCTCATGAGCATGAAGGACAGACACAAAGTATACTTGGCTGACATTGAAGACCAATGCATATCAGGATTGAACTATTGAAAACCGAGGAAGTTTGTAATTAATTTTGATAAAAGGCCAAATTCTGGTAACTGTTAGAAGAGAGGTTGAACTAACCAGGTGCCATTAAGCTGAAGTTAAAGTGACTAAAAGAGTTGATGATGGTGAAGTGGAATCAAATATAGATATCAAAGCAGAACAGGAGAAAGACCAAGATTTGAAGCCAATAATTGCACCCAACTTGGGAAAAGGTGTCTAGCTTAAGCCCTGTTACAAAGAACTATTGGGCACAATGGGACCAGTTGAAGCTTGAAGATGGTATTCTTGTCCGGACGACCTGGCAAATGGTTATACCGAGAAAGTTACGGGAAGTTGTGCTTCTTCAATCCCATGATAGTTTAACAGGAGGACATCTCGGAGTTAAGAAGACATTGAGTCACCCACGACACAGATTTTACTGGATAGGTATGAGACAAGATGTGGAAGAATGGTGAAGGACATGCAGTTCGTGTTGTGCTGATCGGGACCCAAGCATAAAGGACGTGCTCCAATGAAGATATGTCAAGTTGGTGCATATCGACATTGCTGGTCTTTTGCCCCAAACTCCTGCTGGAAACAGGTACATTTGTGTGATGGTGGCTTATTTCACCAAGTGCCCTGAGGCATATGTAATACCAAATCAGGAAGCTACAACTTTAGCTTCTGCTATTAGTGATATCTTCTTCAGATTTGGTATGCCATACGAACTACATTCAGATCAAGGCCGTAACTTCGAATCAGCTATGTTTCATGAATGCTGCAAGTAGTTTGGCATACAAAAGACCAGAACAACGCCACTTCACCCACAATCTGATGGGATGGTAGAAAAGTACAATTGGACACTGGGACAGAAATTGGCAAAGTTTTGTAATAGCCGCCAAGATGACTGGGATGTCTTACTCCCTCCACTGTTGATGGCCTATACAACAGCAGAGCATGAAGCCACTGGATACATTCCAGCAAAGTTAATGTTTGGTCGGGAACTTCAGATATATATTATCTCAGAGTGACTTGACACTTGAACTTTTGTTCTAATATAAAATTAATAATCGACTTTTTTGCTCTAATATGTTATTTTTAGAGTGACTTGGCACTTGAACTTTCATGTCTTAAATATGGCATGCTTGTTTTATGAGCACTGTATGAATTTGAGGTACGAAAAAAAGAACTATAGCTTTTAAAAATTATGCCTTGTGATAGATCTATGAATTTCGGAGCTTGCAATCCAGGTTCGAATCCATGCGTTATTCTTTTATAATTTGCTAAATGTAATACTAGATATTTTGACTTGTTCTTACTATAAGATTCCCTTCTGTATGTGAGTTTTTTTTTGCAAAGATTGTAAATATGCATTTTAGCTTACAGTTTAAATATATGTTATTTAATATGCAAGTCATTAATCTAACTAATTTCATAGAAAACTCTTGGTTGCATAATTTCTTTTTTGCTTCTACACATGTGTTTCAAAACGTGATTTTTATTACGTTAAAATATTGTTACGTCTCTGGTTTATGGTTAATTTTCCGTAGAAATTCTTTCCAAAAAAACTTAGCGATATAAGTCCTTTCTTAATTAAAACTAGTTTATTATTTCTCAATTCAACTTTGCAATACACTTAATTTCCACAGTCGTTTTAACACGCTATAATTCACAACAAACGATTCACTCACTTTATTTGCAACTTGACTCAATTGTCCGTCTCTATCTCTTCAATCTGCAATTATTCATATCTATGCCGTCACTTCTCGACGGTCTTATATATACGAAATAGAGGTCGTCTGGAAAACACTCGAGGCTTCACGAACGGACATGATCTTTCTCGAATCTCATGACGTGTTACTAGCGTCACGTGACTTCCGCTGTCGTAACAATATTTTCTCCAGTGCTCCCTTTCATGATCACTATTAATAGTTCCTCGCCATGCAAATTTAGTCCACCAGTGTCTCAAAGGAATCAAGGGCTTTTATCCTTTCAGTCCCTTGGATAATCTTGTGAACTTCAATAAGATCATCTCTTATCCTTCTTTTGTCATGGGGAAATAGATTAAGAGACTCTAACCTATACCTACAGAGTAACCCTTCCACCCCACAATCTTCAAAGAAAGCTCTCCTTTAAATCAAAAATAAGTTTATTTAGTCCCATCTAAATTAAACGCTCAATACAAATTACTCAAATGCATGATCTTGCACTTACGATGATTAAAAGTCATTTGCCAAATATTTGTACGACTAACCAATTGACCCAAACCATTATGTATAACCTCAACATTCATACAGCTTTACGAATTTAATAATTATGCCCCTATCAACATCATTAGGGTAAAAATTTCCGGAGAAATGCAAAGACACCAGTATTGATCCTTAAAGCACTCTACTACAGTTCAAGGATTAAACTGGGGTAGAGCATTTCAGAATGGTGTTCTGCCTCTTTAGAATGCAAGCCATTAACGTTCCAGTTTTTCTGATGGGAATGTCAAAGTGGATCAAAAAACGGACTTCCACTTCTGTCAAAGTCCAAATTTAATCAATGTTCCAATTTACCTGGAATACCATAATAACAACGTCTTGCTTTCTTTTGTCCAACTATCCTACAGTCCAATTTTAAGTATGGTCGACAAGGATTTCAAATCATTCACGCGCCGAAAATCCGACCATTCAAAGTACTGGTTACATTATATTATGCGCATATATATATATTAATAGTATACTAAAAAGGTTGCTAACATTTCTGGAATAAAAATTTAAAAAATTCTACAACAGCAACTTTTTTTTCGTTTATTACCTACCTAGTTGATCACGTCAGCGTAGCTAGCGCCTAGACGACTCGAACTATCGTTAAAATATTTCTCCAGCTTACTTGACTGGTTTGTGAGTATCCACTTTTGATAATTTGATAAAAATCCATATATATGTAAACAGGTATAATACGAATGGTAAACATATCATGCACGTTTTAAATCATTTTCAACCCGACAGATGGCGCTAAATATTGATGGACAGACACGCGGCAGTTTCTAAATATAAAGTATATACTTTATACAACTATAAAATAAAAAGTAAACAAACAAGAGTATTAAAAAATTATATATTTGAAAATGAAATAGAGATCTTGCTACACAAACTAATGAATCAAGAATTAAAACCACAATCACAAATTTATAAAACTTAATCCCTACCTTGGCAACTTTAAACACTTATCTGTAGGCCAAAGTGAGGATTAAACTATCGATACTGTTTCCATCATCCAGATACCATCGAACATCCTCGAAAAAAGGTATAGCAAGTGTATTCGTCTCACCTTGCAAAACTTGATGATTCATGTTTTCATAACTTGAAATTTAAATCTTAACTGTTTTGTAATTAACGTGATAGGTACAATCAAATTAAACAAGTTAATATTTAATGCTTATTTCCGTGCATGCCGCCATTCCTAATTTTTAGCTACTAACAAAAACAAACAGTCAGCAGCATCCTATCACCCACCATCCACACCAGTGCAATTAAAGGACTAACTATAATATTACTAATTATTATTATTTAGTTCAGCTACACGCTATTTATCAGTAGGAGGAAATGGGTCGTATTCGAATCCCGAAAATAGAGGCGTCTATAGGTGCTTAATAGGTTCGGGGCTCGAGCCCAAAACTCGCAGGAATTTTCGACGTTTCAGTATGACATAGATCATGGTTTTTTTATTCAAGAGCTCCAAATGGATTCGGGGCACGGGCCCTGTGTGCCAATGCTTAGCGACGCGTCTGCCCCAAAAAAAGTATCAATATCAGTATCTGTGAATTATTAACATATGTTACGAATTATTTACATAAAGATTCATTTAATTTCAAGAAATTAAATTAATCTGCATAAAGATTATTGTTGTATGATAAATTAGTAACATATAATTCAATGCTACTAACCTTGCATATAGTTAAGAAAATCTTTCGCACAAACTTCTTTTTAGTGACGTTGATATAATTCATCTGTAGCGCCTCTAGCGGAAACTCGAAATACTTAAATTATTTTTATAAGTAAATATTATTAATGCTTTGTTATTAGGTAGAGTGAGGATCTTTTAGTATGTATCAATAAGATAAAGAAAATAATTTATTTAGTTATAGTGCATGCAAATTATATACAGGAAAAAAAATCAATATATAATTGTTTTTCACAAGGCTCTTAGAAACCCGTGAGCCAAGTAAAGAATCAGTTCGTCATGTTGCCACACAAATTCATCGGTCATTTTCTCAGATTGGTTTTGCATACTTAATAAATCACGGATTTCCCAAAGAACAGGTAACTTGTTTCATATTTTTATCTGTTAAAATTTACAACAACTATTAAACATGTGTGTGTAATGTGTCGGTAATCAATCATATACAATATTCTATTGTAGAAAACTGCTGTTTTCAAGGGGTAATTTATCAAGGAGTATAACAGAAACACTCATGATTTATAGCTGCTGTCCTGAGAGGATTAACAAAGAGTTACTACTACCAGATTCGTTTGAAATTACAAAAATACTATGATGTAAGTTAACATATGAATAGAAATCATAGGTAATGTTAAATATTAGTATGATAAATATCAATAATAGTGATAATGACGATGAAGTAAAAAAATTACAGCAAACTCGTGAAAAATAACATATATAAACGCGTCTACATATTATATAGTTGAATATTGTAAATATAAAGAACCTGAATGAGATGTAGAAAACGTTGATAAGAGTAAACGAATATTTTATCGAAGTTCACGAACCTTGACACTGTTTTCGACAAAAATAAATTTGTAACAAGAGCATGCTACTGGGATTTAAAACCGATCTCAACATCAGTATCCACGTACGTAGCTTAATTACTTGCAAATATATAGAAGTAAAAACGTGTTTTTTCAATGATTTTCATATCATAAATCTTCTTTCAAAAAAGATGTACTGAATGTATAAAAGCAATAACTGATTCCTAGGTTTCTGCTTTTGCACTTTTCTAACCTTTTTTGATCAACAAACTAAACACGTGGCTCTTTGTCAGGTATATTGTGTTTTGTTGTTGTTTACATTTTAGGTCCTAGCAGTGCAGCAAAAATCCCTGGAGTTTTTTAAACTCCCAATCAACGTGAAGGAAAAGTACAAAAGGTCTCTACCTTATGGCCTGGGAGGATATCTTAGCTTTAATAAAGAGATGTGAGTACAGCCGCGAGGCTTAGCAAACATAACACCTCTACCATTTATGGATATTTTAATGTTTTCTGAATGACCCATATACATAAAGCAAGGATCAGTTACTGATAACCTTTTCAACAGTTCACTGTGATAGTGTATACCAATGGTTCTCAATCTGTGAAGCTCTTTTTCCTTGGAGTCTGTTAGAAGATTCAGTTATCGAAAATTATTTACTGCAACGAATAACGTAGCTATACTGAAAAAAACAACACAATCAGCACTCGTATGTCCGACCACAAATAAATTCTGACTAAAGTGGCGAGTAAACATATGTGACGTATATCTCTTTATTTCATTGTTGCCACGTTAAGCGTTTGCCTGTATTCCACTGTCAACTAAACAAAAAATATCTGGGGGATGAGCAGGAGGGGGAAGAAGAGGTCAACAATCTAAAACGTTTTAGAACCACTGGTGTATACCATGATCGAACTTCTTAAACCACAATAAATTTAAAATCAGTGTGAAAAAAACTTCCTCGTAAATTACAGCTTTTACTCATCAAAAATTATCTTGTGTAACTCAATAACTATGTCAGAAGTGACGCATTTAATAACTGTTTCGTAACTTGTCCTTGCATTTGTTTCATCAGCTGTTCAGTACTTGTAATTAGCCGTATTTAATTTTAAGAAACTTTATGGAAAGATAATCACCTGGAAATATTACAGAATACAGCGGGCCGAGTATTTATGCTAACACGAATTTTAATATGCAAATAAACTAGTCCAGTGATAACCATAGCTGATATAAAGTTACAACTACAACTTGGCCAAAATGTTTGCTGTTGTTGTTTGTTATTAAACACAAAGGGTTATCTGTACTCTTCACACCACTGGTATCGAAACCCGATTTATAGCAGTATAAGTCCGCAGACATACCACTGAGCCATTGGTAGGGGAGTGGGGGGAGCATATCTAGGAAAAAAAACTGATATAACAATGCCGTAGAACAAAATGTTTTTTGCCTCTCATGATAACACGTTCGGCCATGAAAGTTTCTTCGTGGTAGAACTCAGGCCACTTTCGTGATACAAATTTAGTAATCTAATGAAGACCAGAATATTGCACTGATGAAGACTCGCCCTTTTGCTAGCCTACTGAGTGACCTGATTGCATTTTCAAAATATAGACATATCAACGAGCTTAAAAAAAAAGTACAACAACTGCTTAAAAACTAAAACGCATTTGTTTCAAAACATAATTTACTACATGAGGAGTGGTGTGTGATATGGTAGGATATCTCGAACGTGTTCACTCCGAATTCACTCATGTAAGAAATAAATACTTGATGAGAGTGCGAATTGAAAATAGTGTTTTTGATTAACATTAAAAAAAAGAATTAGAATTTTCGAATAACATCAGCTTCCACCATAGACCATGCTGTAACGATTTATTTCTACTTTCGTCATTTAGTCTTCAGCCAGGCGTACAACAAGAAATGAAGGAGACATTTGAAATGATCAAAGCTGACTCTGTATTTCCTGCTGCTGATGAAGTCCCTGGGTTTAAGCAATCCTGTGTAAACTTCCTGGACTCCTGTAGAACTCTATCTCGTCGTTTCTTGAAAGTTCTTGCAGTTGCTTTAGGTGGGTTTTTACATGTATTGTTTTATACTTAAGAAACGTAATATAAAACTGATCTGTCACAACTGTTAAAGCCAGCTGGCTAAACCTACTGAAATTACTCATCCTCCTTCTTTCTTCAGCTCGTGTTGCTTATATATGTAACAGTCAGTAACCCCAGAAGAACATATGAAAACTGCAGTATACCTCAAGACAGTTCCTATAACGTTTCAAATGAATAATGTTTTCCTGGACCTTGTACACATTTCCATCAAACTAGAATAATCAAGTGGTGTAGTATTTTCAAACTAGGAATGATTGTTTTAGTTCTTGGATACGGTTTCAAATAAATAATGTTTTCCTGGACCTTGTACACATTTCCATCAAACTAGAATAATCAAGTGGTGTAGTATTTTCAAACTAGGAATAATTGTTTTAGTTCTTGGATACGGTTTCAAATAAATAATGTTTTCCTGGACCTTGTACACATTTCCATCAAACTAGAATAATCAAGTGGTGTAGTATTTTTAAACTAGGAATGATTGTTCTAGTTTATGGATAGCGTCATCACCACCCACCGCCAACTCTTTGGCTACTCTTTTACCAACGAATAGTGGGATTGATTGTCACATTATAACGCCCCCACGGCTGAAAGGGCGAGCAAGTTTGGTGGGACAGGAATTCGAACCTGCGACCCTCAGATTGCGAGTCGAGCGCCCTAACCACCTGACCATGCCAGGCCGATTACCAATCCTATATAGTGGCAGTAGTTGAGGCAGCATGAAATTACTGAATCGAATATTTAGATTACGTATATTTCATAGTCGTCAGTGCTATGGAAATATTATACCAATAATAATAATTGTTAAAATTGTACTCGACAAGCAACATAAAAACAAAATAAATAGTAAACTAACGAACAATCCTGGCCTAATTTACGTTGTATGTGTGAATGGATTGGTTTGTTTTTCGTCCGCGAACTCCCCATGTAGTGTAACAACCTTACGTCAAAATACACCAGATTAATTTAGAGTGTGATCATTATAACTGATAATTATTAAATTACCGTGTTTTATTTTCTCTCGTTAACAAAAAGAGTTGAACTTAAAAGTTTAGTACGTTTCAGAGAAAATTATTTAATTGGCACATAATTCATTACTGCTTTTTTTTTAATTATGGGAAAACAATATGTAGATCTATCTATATATATATATGTTTAGGTGGAATCAAGAACAGGAAAATGGGTCTCAGCCACTCCGCTAAATGATTCTATTGTAGTCAACATCGGGGGCATGATGGCTATATGGACTGATGGGGCATACCAAGCAACGGTAATTCGTTATCTTTTACTGCGTATTATTAAATATTAAATGTTATTATTAACTGAGGAATTATTATTAAGTAGAGTACATAAAAGTAAAATCTTTTCAATCACTCTATTTGTTTTAGACCACTGTTGCAAAGAAATATTTTGCTCACGTGATTTTATTTTCTTTCTTGAATTGCATCCTGTAGCGTCATCGAGTCTTAGTGCCAGAAGAAGAAGCTAAAAGACAAAGATCAAGAAGTTCTATTGCCTTTTTTTGTCAATCCGGATGATGCTGTTACTGTAGAACCACTTAATGGGTGGAAAACATTCCCTGCTGTGAACGTCAAAGATTATATATATGGTAGATTTATGGACACGTTTCAGTATTGATGATTAAGAATAAACAAAAAGTTATTACAAATTATTGTTTATTGGCGCAAAGCTACACATAGGCACTGCGGGGAATAGAACTCCGGGATTTTGCATTGGAAGTCCGGAAACTTATCGCTGGACTATCGGTTGACTAATATAGATTAAAATTAATTTCTAACATTTTTTAATTAGCTTGTAAGAAGAGTTTAAACATAACCGCACTGATATTTGAAAGATGTAAAACATTTTAATATATGCCGATAATCTATTTGATTCATAATATTTTTAGAACGACTCTGAGTTGTTGTTTTCTTATTTTTTCTCAAGTAGAAACTTTTAGCACGCAAAATATCTAATATATAAAGCTATGCTTGTGTCTCTTTGTTCGCACCTTTCAGCCTGTATAATAGTAGGCCTATAAAAATATAGAATCAACGTACTCAGGTTTAATGTCTGTGACGTCACATCCTTAGTGTCAATAAAAATTTTGTAATATGATATTTTCCAAAGAAGATGGGGGTTGGACCCCCGGAGATGTGACCCCCATCTAATTTCATATCTGATTTCGGAAAAACTACCAAATCGGCACAACTTGACACAGTGATACAGGATGACATGAGAAAGGTAATGAGGGGGTTGGACCCCCATCTAATCTATATAAATAAACGTCAGTATGTGTGTGTGTGTGTGTTTATCAGTTCTTCATATGTTTCCACATTTCTTGATTAATCAGAACCAAACTTGACACAGTAATACAGGATTACACGAGGAAGGTTATGAGGGGGAAAGGAGGAAAAAAGGTCTCATAGATTAATTTACTGTAACCCTGCATAAAAGAATTTCAAGTGCCGTGACTATTGAGAATTCCCTCTTGTTTTAGAAAGTATAAACTCAGTTGAATTTCGGAAAATATCTATGCACTCAGTTTAATAACGTACAATAGGCATATAATATAATTTAAGTGATGAAGCCTTTAGTTTTATATCAGGTCGTCAAGAAATTAATGTCGCAATTTTTAGATGAAAAATCCCGAACAACATCTCTTGGCTTTGAAGCAAAAACATTTCGATGTCCTCTTTAACACCTTCCACATTCGCATACGTTTTCTCATTAAGATGGTGTTGCAGCGAACGAAAAAGATGGTAATATGATGGTGCCATATCTGGAGAATATGGTGGATGGGGGAGAACTTTCCAATCCAACTTCATAATCTCGTGTTGCGTAAACGGGCCACATGTGGACGTGCATTGTCATGCAGAAGAAGAACACCTTTCCGATTGACGAGTGAAGGGCGTTTCTGATAAAGGTCTTGATTTCAACGTTCATGTTGCTGACTATAGATCTCAGCATTGACAGTTCGCTGTGGATTGAGGAATTCGAAATGATGTCCCACCAAATGCAAAGCATCACTTTCTACAGATGGACTCCAGGTTTTGGAGTCGGAAGTGGTTTTTGTCTAGGACTGAACCATTG